TGGTCGCCCAATTTTAGAACGAAACCATGATTTTCGTGGACTTGAAGTTTTTATCTTAAGCGGCCTAGTATTTAATTTCGATTCAGTCAAGCGCTCCAAATTGTGGCGCTGAATTTCCTGCACATGCGCGATGGGGCAACCGACAAGCAACGCTGAGGTTAGGAAGAGAGATTAGGTCATCGCGGTAGCCCAGTGAGACAAGTGGTCAAACTCCATAGATTGCTTTGATTGGGCCAAGTGTCGTGCAAATAAATTGCCACGGCGAACAATGTTTGCTGGGGCATGTAGTAGACGGGAGGAAGCCAAGCGCCCGAAAACACTGCGATGAGGCAATCGATAAAGATAGATAGATTTATCACTTGTTCCACGTTCATCCTTTTGTGATTTGCGTACAAGAATCTTGGCTGAACCCATACGTTACCGACGCGTTGGTGTACACTGATGAATTTAACCTGTACCAGCAGAATAGAGTCTCATGCGGCAGGAAAACCGGCGGTGTGCGTGTGTGTTGAACTGCATAGTATTGTTGGTGATTTTAACCATGCCTCAACTCGACCTCTCACTGCTTTTGATGTGACGGATTTATGCCTTTCATCGATCAGAAGTAACCCCGTTTTAGACAGCATTATAACAAATCACCCCGAATTCTTCTCTCTCCACTTGCGTAAACCCGTCTCAACAAATATCCATTGTCTACTCCTTCTAAGACCTAAAATATATTCCCGTACTGCTTTTTATTCGTTTTGGCAATGTAAAAAATAAAATCCGTCTTCGTAACACATCATGTAAATGTATTCGTCTCTTTCAAAGATCCCTATCCAATGCAGCTTCCTGGTTCTCCTTTGAGACTTCATTGAACAACAATGTGAATCTTTTTGTTGATCCAATCAACTTCATGTTGTGATTTGGAAATCATATTTCGTTCCAATGATCGCATTGCCTCTCCGAAACTCAAAACACTAAGGAGACACAAGGAACATTTCTGCAAATCCCGGAACTGATCAGTGGTCAGCTACATTTCTTCATTGATATAAAAGGAAATTAAACGTATCGACTCATTCTATGGGGATCAACTTTGGGCAGCCAAAACAAGTGACATCTATGGAAAGGAATTCGGATTCTATGTGGAGCGAAATTCAGACCAAACAAATGTGCTGTGTACGTTGAGTATAAATCGTGCATTTTCATATCCGAGTAGCGACCCTTCTGTCTCATGTATTCCGGTAAACGATGCCAATATAACCCCGTTCTCTAGAGAAGGAATATTTAAATTCCTCTTTAAAACTAAATCATCCACTGGTATTTGTCTCGACGTTCTACCTTCATCTCTTCTATAGCATAGTGCCCTTGCTCTAACGGATGTTTTTACTTCTATCCTCGACACCTCATTGAGCACGTGTTCTCTTGCTGATTGCTAGAGATCCTTCAAGATTCTATTCCAAAACCGCGTAGATCCAGCACACTGCACTAACGTCATGCTGTCTTAAATTTGTATAACGTGCCTTTCTCAAACGCTTGTCTGCTTCTGTGAGTAGCCCCGAAGACCCTCTCCAGTTTGTGTATGAATCAAACAGGATCACTTTGGATTCTGTCACCTCCCTCGTCCATTAGCTTACCAAATCCCTAGACGCATCAGTGAAATCTGTCAGATATACCGTTTAAGATTTTTCATCGGCATTTGACTCTGTTCCACGTTCCCGCCTCCTTCGAAAAATGGAATCATTTGGCTGTCCCAAGTATCTAATGGCGTGGTTCGTTGACTATTTCACAGGTTTTAGTTTTCACTTTATACAACCACTAATCGTGCTCGGGTTTTGGTTGCTGTCTTTTGTCCGCCCATTTGGGTGAACATTAGGAGAAAGACAGGAAAAGTTGAAAGTAGGATTCAAGGGAAACTTTAGAATTTCAGTGGCCTAATGTTGCAGATCAACTGAGAAAATGCACGAACGCCACTGTTTACGACACGCAGCCGTATCACTCAGTATCTCTAACCATCGGTCACTATCATACCGAGGTCCCCATACTGCCTCGGCAAGCATCGCTCGACGTGGCAACCTATCTGGTGGCATGCGTAACGTATGCCTCAACCAACGTAATCGACGGAGGTACTACTTCACAAACAGAACTCAGCATACTCGGCTCGGTAGGAAAACATCTAAACCGCTCGTGAACAATTCGGGAGTGCCACAGGTTGCCGTACTAAATCCGTTCTTGTTTTCAACCTACACCAGTAACCTTTCAGCGAGTTTTCCAGCCAAATTGTTTAAATACCCTGACGACGTAGCCCTTTGTCAAGGCATTACTGTGCCTGAAAACCTTCTAAATTTCTCGAATAATCTGTCCCATCTCCACAAATTTTCCGTTCGTTCTGGTCTGTCTCTTACTCCATCCAGATGCTTCGAATGCACTTTCTTCCTCTCTCGGTTCCCGTGACCCCTCGGCCATAAGCGCAGGTCCCCTAACTACAATAGATTCCGTGAAGTAGATAGGAGTTACAATTGATACAAACTTGAGGCGAACATCCCATATTCACAACTCTGTACAGAAGCTTCGTGGGGTATCTTCTCAACTGCAGTTCATTTCGCTTTTTGTTTATCAATGTGTTTTCCCCTTTCTTCTTCATGGTTCCCCGGTGGATTTTTCTGGTTTACTCAAAAAGAAGTCTGAGTTCTTCGTGAAGGTTTGTCGATCATCAGTCGTGTCTTTTATACCAATTGATGATATATCTACATAACTGCGAAATTCATGTGAAATATTTGCACAGAAAATCCCCCAATCACCCTTTACATGGCGATCTATC